AAGGAGCAGTATGTAACTTTGACACCTAGTGGTTAAAGCTGGTACTGCAGTCCAAATTTAAAACATTGTAGAGAGCTGTCTCCCCCCCCTCCTCTCTAGAGTGGATGCTCACTCAGGTCACCATGTGGTGGACTCTGAAGCTTCAGTGTTTATCCAGCTCTGCATGGGTCTGTAAACCTTTCTGTGTTCTAACCTCTCTCCATTTTTCAAAAGCATCTCCAATATTGATCCTAGTTTGAGCACGTTTCTGCTTGTGGAGCTTATTAGAAACATGCAGAGGCTTTTTAGGTCGGGTACAATCACTTCTATCTGAACCACTTCTCTTGACCCGCTTCCATCACTGCAACACCTGTTGACCTGATAACTGCTCTCATACCTGACAAACTGAGGGGGCGTCTGCACATCTCCATGCTCACTGGTAAACAGCAGACAAACACAGTTAGAGACGAGCAACAAAATCAAGTTTTCAGCAGCTACAGATCCACTACAGAGACCAAAACCAGAACCAGAGAGACTATATTAGACTTACATTCATCAGGTGGAAACAAACACGACTCCTAATGAAGGATCAAGCTTTATCAGCTGCAGGATGTTTGGTCAAAAAGGAAAAGGAAGTGACGCTGACTGCTCCGACTTCTCCAGAGATAACATGTTAACTTCCTGCTGACGAGTTAGGATGCTAGCTTGCTTCTTCTTTGCATTTGTTGGCACATTGCTACACATCAGCGCCACCAGCTGTCGATCAGAGAAATAGCACAACAACATAAGCAGGATGGAAATCCTTCAGGTTTTAAAGTGAACCTGCGGAGCCAAACAGAATGTTGTTTTTACAAACAGCAACCAACAATGCTACTGACTCCACCTTTAGAGCTCCTGTGAGGAGACTTTACCTGGTTATCAAAGTGACTGATATTGTACCTGATGTCTCTACATGACCTTTTAAAAGCAAAGCAAATCATCAGCAAGAGGACCGATTATATTCAAAGAAAGCAGGATGACATTTCAGTCTGAAAATGGGACCAACGTGTAGCATCTGTCTTTGCAGAAATCAAAATAAACCTCAAAGATTTGTGCAGAAGCTCTGAGGTGAAGTGATCCAAAGTGAAGTGGACATAAACTTCACATCTTTTGGATTCCCCAGAAAAAGTCTCTCAGATCACAGGCACCCAGGAAACAAAGAGGAGGTCTTGTTATTTTAGTACAGATAAACCACAGTGTTTAAATACAAACACAGTACAGACATTCAGCTCCTCATGGAATCTTTTAAACAGAGGCGCTAAAGCAGGAAACTATAAATGCATGTTTCTTACAAAAAAAAACTCTTCAAAGCTGTTTTCACACATGTACTCCTTTTTCCTGAACTTTTTCTCTCTCTCTCTCTGACTCTCTCTCTCTGACTCTATCCACTGTCCTATGTACACAAAAAACATTACATCGAAATCACAAGAAAGGTGTCTGGGAGTTGAAATGAATCCATCACAAATTGGAAGCAGCCACCTAGTAGCGTAACTGAAATCGAGCAGGGGACCAATTGGGCGCCAGACAGACCCTTAAGTCTCAAAACAAAACCATGCTACGAACTACGATCAAATCAAAGTTCATTTATACATTAAACATAAATTCAGGACAACAGAAATATTTCATATCTAAACAAAACATCTCATATAACTGAAGTCCATGATCTCAAGTTCATCAGAAAAGAAGATTTAAACCAGTTCAATGTTCTCATAAAAAATATGAATATTAAAGAAAGAGAGGGTGTGTGTGAAGGTGTGTGAAGGTGTGTGAAGGTGTGTGAGCAGCTGTTTGGGCCGGGGGGAAGGAGAGATTGGAGAGCAGAAGCAGGGGAGGTGAGGTAACACAGAGAGACAGAGAGAGAGAGAGAGAGAGAGAGAGAGAGAGAGACGATATCACCTGTCCAGGTTTTGGTTCCTGAGAGGGGTTGCAGCGTCACAACTCCAAGAACATGTAAGCAGCCTGAACCCTCCTTCTCCAGTCGTCCAACACTCTAACTGTGCAGGAAATCCTCTGTCTCCTCTCACACACACACACACACTCTCCCTCTCAGGTGCAAACAATCATCAATTTGCCTCTCCTATAGGCCACACCCCCTTCCTCACAATCTGGCACCCTGTCTGCTACAACCTGCACACTGTCTAACCTGCACAAATACAAGAAATAACCAAATAAAGGGCGTCTGGGATTTCTATTTTCTAACATGTGTAAAAATCAACCCTAGTTCACACGTCGGCTTATCCCGATTTGTTGCAGACATGTTGCTACGGTGCCGGCTGGAAAAAGTCCTGGTGAAGCCAGGTTGAAAAAATGTTATGTTTACGTTCACACACGCAGCTCACACCCAAATTCAGGGACATTTTTAGGAGTTTTTGTGCATGTGTGAAAAGAGATAATGAAACTGTTTATGACACAAAAAAAATGCCAGATCCCAGTGTTTAAATGAAGAGTGAGCGCAGCAGCTTCAGTGCTCTCTCGCTCTCTC